GGCGCAGACTGTTCCTTTTTGAATTTTTATTAGAGAATTAATTAATTACTCAATATCTGGGATTAATTTATGAACTTTTATAGCTGCATCGTAAAGGCAGATCCATCAAGAACTTTCCAATGTATTTTTCGACATAGATTTGTCCCTAATTAATTTATTATTAATTATTATTCTACGCAGTGTTTGAATTGTTGTGGAAGACGCCAATGGTTTTTCATTAATTACTATCCTCAACGCAATTAATTTATGAAACTTTATGCACTCGTTAGAAAGCCAATGTCCTTGCGAATCTTCTCATATAACTTTTGATCACATTTTGCTTCTAGTTTCGTTTAGTAATAAATATTTTCACGGAAGGTTGTGATGGTCGCCGTTACGAAATCATAGACGCCATAAAACAAAAATTAATAACTAACAATTTGGAGCTAAATTCTTTACAGAAATTATACAGGAATGTAGCCTGAAGTTCCAGCTTTGCAATGAAATTATAAAAGTTCACAAATTGTTTACGGAAATTGAGTAATTAATAATTCTTCACTTTCGGAGCTATTTTGTCCTTTTCTATCCCCTTTCTGTCCTTGTCTACCACGTGACCAGCACATCGTCGACCTCCTTGCCTATTCTATATTCCTATCACTTTAGGAGCATTTGGAGCCAAATAATAGATGGCGCTGATCGAAACTGCCGACGGAAAAACCACGTGACCCGTTGGGCGGGAGAAATAAAACAATAAAAGGACATAAATAAGTATAACACATTTTTCTTCGTTTTTTTTACTCTCTTAATAGCCCGTTGAACATGCAGTCACAGATGAAGATGCGTGCTTTTGTTCGTGGTAAAAAGAAAATGAAACTGCCATGGTTATATGTTAAAGTACTTTTTATTCATTCTGAAAATTTTACATATACATGTTAATTGCTCACGACATAATAAATAATGACATAATGACATTAGAATCTGAGAAGATGTTTCGTAATACATATCACGTAATAATTATCATAATAATGACCATATATATACGTACAATATTCATAGACATATGATAAATGATTCTATTCGAATACATGAGTTATCCTAATAATTCTTGATATCTCTTATCGTGCATCTCCTCGGCTTTTTCTTGTGCTAAACCTAATAAGGAGTTTTTTATTTCCTATTCATTTTCCTTGATATCCTTATCATCTTCAACATCATCTATTTTATAATTTTGTACTTTCTTCGGTTCCTTTTTTGTATCTCTCAATGTATTTTTTATCTTTTCCTTCATTGCTCTGAAAATATAAATATAAGAGACAGTCAATGAAAAATCCTACTTTCTATAACATAGTTATAATGTAAACAATAAACTAACTCTTTCTCTTGATTTACAACTTCTAATTCTTCTTGAGTTTTTACTTCGTCGTCACTTTCCCAATCGCTACTATGGTCTTCCTTTCTTTTTTTATTTTCAAGTCAGGGTGGTTCAACAGCTGGTTGTGAGCTTAATTTTGGATCAGTTAAATGATCATGAGCTGATTTGCCCTTACCGTTAAACTTTTTATTTAATATTACAGATTTTTCTTCACCTTCCTCTGCTTGTTCAGCAAATGATAAAAGATTGAAATCATTATAACAAAATTTTTCATTGTAAAGAATAGTACTATCACGACAAAATTCTGCAAACATATATCATATTAATTTTACTGTTGCTGTTTTAGTTTTTGAATTGTTCTTTACCTCTTCACTTTGCTGTACTATTACTCTTGGAATAATATCAGAAAATAGATTGTTCA